CCCTTTAGGCGGGGGGGGGTGGGGGGGGGTGTTGAGTTTCGTTTATACGCCCAGATCATTGGTGGCGGCCATTATCCCGGGCCCCGGGGGGGGCCCGCTTTCGGGGGAAATTCAGTTTTATAAAGGAAATAGACCAGGTTTGGGGGTACGCAGCCCCTAGAGTTTTCCCTACCCTTAGCCTTAACCCAGTTTCCCTGGATTGTATGCTTTTTCCAACATTTTTCCGGACCCCGGCAACCCCTGGGGGGCCTTATATTGCGGAGGGCACTGCTCAAGGCACAGCCCTGTTCCCAGCAGGGGGAGACCCCGGGGAGGAACAGGTGTTCTTCTTGGGAGACAAACCCCCCCAGGTGGTTGATGATTTCCGGTTTCGTGAGGGGGTTGTTCCATTTTTGGGGGTTGCTCCCTTTTTGGGGGTTGTTCTTTTTTTTGGGGGGGGGGGGCGTCGTGCTGAGGCTGCTGCTGCAGCGCCGGAGATTTCCGTTTAACACCCCCGGCAGCAGAGCTAGCAGCAACTGCACCTGTAGCAGCGGCAGTGGCACCGCTGGCCGGAGCGCCACCAACTGAAAAACGGAACGTTATGTAGGGGGGCGGCGGGGGTGGGTGGAGGACTGAGGGGGTTCATTTACCGCCGTTACTTCTGCAGCCTGTGGTTGTCCTTTTGAAAATATTTCTGCAGCTTGCTGGAAACAGAACGGGCACCGGGCACGTCTCTCTCAGAGCCCCGTCTGGCCGAAATTCTTGTAGCCGATTGTTTCCTCATGGTCTCAACCCCTAAACAGCTCTCCTCCACAAGAGGGAAAGAGGGGGGAAACAAAGACGGCTTAATATTCTTTTCAGTTTGTTCCGCCGTTCGGATAGGCTTGCACTTACCTCGTTTCGCGATAGGGCTTCCGTACTCTTCAACCCTTCACAGCCAGTCATATTGCCAGACAAACACAACAGCTCGGAACCCGACGTCTGCCCCACAAGGACAAATCTCTCTATGGCACAGCAGATGAGCCAATCTCAACCAGTCGTACAGCATCGCACGCGCTCAGCGCAGGAGACAATACTGCTTGCAGCGAAAGGGAAGCACGCACCGTAACAAACGACCTGCACGTCTTGTATTCGACTAGTACAGAAGAAGGCGCGTCGTTGCATTTGTTCGCGTTTCCTCTTGGGCTAGCAAACGGCCGTGTTCACGACGGCAGCAGCTACTTGGTCTGGTGGGTCGTGTTGCTCACTACCTCATCCTTTTAATTCTTGGTTGCTCCCAGAAGACGATAAATTTAACTCCATCTTGTCCGTTTCATGCCGATACACACGTCTCTCGCTTCGCTCCACATAGGCACCCATATCTAAACTCGATGCGCGTGCACGCACCCTAAATGTAATATGAATGTTTCTACGTTTAGGTGCCCGCAGGACCGTGAGTTCCCTGAGCCAAGCGCGCTCCCGGGGTTTCCTGTTCTTACGCTCGAACAAACTCTGTTCGGCTTGCTGAACGTAGATGCCCCAAATTTCCTTCCGCAATGCTGTGCGCGTTCGGCGCTGAGCTTGTTGCGCGCGCGCGTTCGTTCACGCCGTATCTTCGAGTTGGAAGGAATTAGGAGTTCTCGCACCACCCGCGGCATTTAGACGCACATGCAATACCCCGGACATATTGGAAGTATATGTTAGAGCAGCTGCGCCAACTGCTCCTCTGCTACTTGCACACCGTGCGTACGTGCTTGTTCGCGTAGAAGACCACCTCCTCGATCGCCATGAGTGCACACGACTCAAAGAGGGGGCAGACGCTCTGTTCCTCTCCCTCCCTGTCTTTCTCCTCCCCCCCCCCTCCCTCTCTCTACTCCGCCTTCCCCCGCGCGCCGCTCTCTCTTCTGTCCCTGTCTCACCTTGACCGTCTTCTTTCGTCTCTTCCTCTTCCACCCTCCCCGTGCGGCGGCTCTTACCCTTTCCGCCCCGCTGCGACCCCGCTCCCGCCGCGCCTCCCGCTTCCGCTCCTCCTCCTCCTCCTAATCCCTCCATGACTGACTTCCGGCCGTGCGGCCAACGATGCATGTGAGATCCATGGAGAACGAAAGCGCACAAGGTTGGTCCAAGAGGTCGTCGGCTTGGTAACCGCGGCGTAGGAGTTGAGAAAACGTACCTTGTGTAGGACTGATGCGTGGTGGAAAAGCGGCGCTCTGAATTGTAGCGCCGACACATACGAAAGTTTTGATTTTTCAGGCCATATGTGCGCACTTTGGGACCAATCGATGCAGCTACAAGCAAACGTAATATAGAGCTGGGGCCACACTCACCCCAGCCATTGCTGTTTCCCCTCCATTAGCCACCGCTACTCTCTACTTCGTTCCCCCTATTTTATGTATGTCATGCTAGGAGTACATCGTACATGCAACAACAGCAGTCACACGATCAAGATATCCAAGATATCGAAGGAGGGGAGACGCAGCATGCACAGCTTTTGCTCGATCCACTGGGCACCAGCGGTCTTGGGTAGACACGCAAAACGTGTAACCCTATGTACACAGGCGAATGAGAATGCACATGATCTTAGCAGGACGTGTGCGGTGCTCTCAGCCGAACGCGCTGGTTACAAGAAGTGACAGCAGACCTCCCGAACATGTGCTTCACGTGACCGAGAGAGGTAACAGCGGTGACCTAGGTTGTCTGCGCGGCAAAGGGCTAGCAAACACAACATGGTAGTGGATCGCGGAGGCCCTAAGGGTGCACAACTCGATTCTGGATTACCTGTTGTCTCTCGGTTGCTCGAGGTATCGTGTCGTCCTGTGATGTCCGCCCGCTCATCTGCTCATCTACTCCGCGATCCGCGCGGGGGCTCACAGATGATACAAATGAAACTGCCGGATCCCCGTTGAACAAGTGATTGTGCCCCCGTGACGTCAATGTTTCTCCGTTCCACCGTCCCTGATGTGTCTACCGTCTACCACACCCAGCCACGCCAAAGGTGCTGCTGTGGGCAAGGGTACATTCTGTGGCCTCCGCTCTCCTCCTGCTTTCTTCTTCTTGAAGACCTTGCTCCGTCCGTGGCCCTGTCCTAAACGGCTGTTGGTGGTGCGTGCAGCAAGCAAGCACAGCAGCAGGTTGTTGTACAAAGCGGGGCAATTGCCCGGTTGCCCCCGTGAGTGAAAGTGTGTGTCGGCCAGCACGTTTTGGGTGCCCGCCGACAGCGGCGAAAGCAGCAGCAGCGTCATGCTCGCCTCTGCGACAGAGGTGGAGGTGGAGTTGCACGTGCCGGACGACGTGTCGACCTTCTTTGGCGTCACTTGGGCGCAGGACCCACGGAAAAATAAGGTGGGTGCGGCGAATGACCGGTCGGTCTCTTCTCGATCGTTGCAGAAACGGGCATGTGGTCGTGCACGGGTTGATACACGTACAGCAGTACAACAGTAGTACGACCGGCGAGGGCGGCCGCTGTTGGCGGCGCCTGTGCAAAATCCAAGATGTCGTTGCTGTGACTGCACGTGTTTGCGTATTTCCATAGTTATGTATCCGATCGCTGTGCGTGTCGATGCCAAAGGTGCTTGGTAGATACGCGGTGTGTACAACTGTACTTTGGTTTACATGTATGCATACGTCCAATGTCTGCAGAGGGATGCCTATACTTGGCAGGCTTTGAGCTTTTACGGTGTGCGAAGTACTTCTATCTCATATGCATATGCATACACCAATAGACAAAACTTGGCTGAAAAATCACAGGTAAACGATTGCTTGAAAATATGGCATCCATGAAAGTATGCCGGCCCGAAAATAACGCGCAAGCGAAGGGTGCGTTGTTGCATATGCACAGCAGCGTAAGTTGTTATACTACAGCAGCGAGAGTGTGAGGATCTACAGACGCCTGCCCGATACTGAACTTTTCTGAATCTGCTCAAGTCCTTGCCGTGAGAAAACAGCAGTGATGCCGGCCGGACAAAACCCTTCCTGTGATCAGGTACATCCTGAGCGTGGCGGTGCTCCAAGCACGAGAGGCACTGGCAGCAGCGGGCGGGGAACATCATTTGCATGATGCCTCCCCCTCCTTCCGTCTATTTCCGCCAAACGTCTCGCCACTAAACAATCTGTATCGCAACAGCCCGCTGAACCATTCCCTCGGCCCCTTTCTCCCCGCGCCGGTGCACACCCCGCATCTGACCCATCACACCACCGTACCGGACACCCCACCCAACCAGATCTTCATCAAGGCCTTCCCTCGAGGCCCCAACGGCCGGAGGGGGATACTGGAGTCGACGGGCCTGGTCGAGCTGGACGACTGCCTCACGGCCATCAACGGAGTTTCTGTCGACAAGTCCAGCGCCCTCCACGAGGTAATGGCGAGCATCCGCGCGGCGGAGTCTCCCCTGTCCCTCCGGTTCGCGCGGTACCCCCCCCCGCCCCTGCAGCGCTGCTCTCCATCCTCCTCCCTGTCGTCGCCGTCCTTGTTCTCCCCCTCCCCCTCGGCGCCCCCTCCGGTGGGAGGGGGGTTAGGGGGACCGCCGTCTTACCCCTCCACCGACTCCCTTAGCAACGGCGGCGGCGGCGGCGGCGGCGGTAGCATCGGCCGTCATATAGGTGCCGGAAAGAGCACTGGAGGCAGCAGCGGCGGTGGCTCGGGCGGCCTCGACAGCGCCGCAAGGGCAGGGGGAGGAGGAGGAGGAGGAGGAGCTGGAAGCGAAGAGAGAAGAGACGCGGCGGATCCCGATCTTGACGCCGTTCTCAACAGCGCGCTGGTACTCGGGCTCGGGGAACGGGTTGCGGACATCCAGAAGCGAAATTCGCGGCTGCTGCAGGAGGTGGACCGCATCGGGCGAGCGGCTGCGGACAAGCGGCAGGTGCGGAATATGTGCTAACTTAAAGTGCGTGTCTCGAAAATCTCTGCCTGCTGATATCTCGTTTTTCACGCACGTCCTCGTCAGTCCGTGTTTTTCTTTTTTTCTTTTCATTTTTTCGGGTCAGCCAAGGGGCACCGTCAGTGAGGCAAGCTGGAGGTACTGGTTGGGTTGTACGGACGGGGCTGTGCGACACCGAGAACAATGGCGAGGACGAGAGCGTCGGCGATCGGCCTTTGACAGACGCCCCCAACTTATTTCACGTCGTCTCGACGTCCAGAGCTGTTGACGCCTCCTCGTGTTAAGTTGCTCCGGGCGTGTGGTGCCGGCGTGCGTTTGGCGGCGTGGTGCAGTAGGACCGAACGCCTTTGCTGCTGCTGTTGTGTCCAGGTTTGTCTGCCGTTCCTACCCCCTCGCCGTCCAAGCAGACAAACTTTTTTTTTGACAGGTTACCTACGCTGCCCACGCTGACGTGTACTTTTTGTCGGTTCTCTCATTTCAAGGTTTAGGTTTTGCGGTTGCTCTCGCCCCTTGACTGCGCGTGTGTATCCTCTTCCCCCACCCGGTTCTTCTTCTGTTGCCGGGTCGAAACCGCTCTCTGCACCACGACAGGGGGTGGAGAGGGTCGCGTCCGCGGCGGCTTCGCTGACGGCGGCGGGGTCGGACCTCCTCCCTCGGCGCGCTCTCCGGTTGCTCTCGGCCGCTAGGCAGGACGCCGTGGCTCTCTGCGAGGCGATGGCGCGGCTGGACGAGCTGCTGGCGGCGAGGGAGAGGGCGCAGCTGGCCAGGCGGCGGGCTCTCGAGGAGGAGGAGGAGGAGGAGGAGGAGGAGGAGGGCGGGAGAGAGGCGGGAGGGATGATGTCTTCAAGGGGAGGAGGTGGTGAAGAAGGGGGGCGACCGAGACGATAGCAGCAGCAGAACAGCAGCTGCTGCTTTTGCTTCGGGGTAAAGACGGTGGCGGTGGTGCTCAAGGAGGGAAGGTTGCGTACAAACTGGAGTTTAACGGCCCTCAGTCGGGATATGACGGCTCCATGGGACGGTTGCTGGTGCCTCGGCGATTCGCGCAGGTGGTGGTGGTTTTGGGTGGAGCATGTAGTTGTCGTGGTGTCTTGCCTGTAGTGGTAGTGGTGGTGGTGGTGGTGGTGGTGGTGGTGGTGGTGGTGGTGGAGATGTCATGGTCAATTGCATTTATCGAAGACGTGGCCATGAGTGTGGTCGTGAGGTGGCTGGTGGGCAACCGGGAGAGGAGAGCGGGGGGTTAGTTGGGGTCATCTGCTAATAGACTTAATAGACTTGCCGCGGGTTGTGGCCGAAGTGCCGTATTCCCGAGGGTACATAGCATCCAGTACGTAGCTTTTCCCGTCGTGGGATTAGCCGTGGTGTTTGCTCCTTTTTCTTGTATTGGTTCGCTTCCTCTGCTTTACAGTTCGGGCCGTTGAGCCTCCTTCCTTGTGTTGGTACGTGGGCATTTCTTGTGTACTGTTGCCTTAGCGATTTGACCTATAGTCTACACGGAAGCTGAACCTGAAGAAATACTGCTGTGCATCCGCCATGCGCGTTAATTTTTGTGCAATACTGTGCGTTGCCTGTACGTTGGCTCTCTTGGCAACGAGGCGCTTGCATGAGGTATTCGCCACGCCGTGGGCAGAGCCGTAGTTCATTGGATGTATCTTAGGCGTACACGATACGATGTGTTAGCACGTCGTGATTTAGCGACATTCGCGGTGCATGTAGGTGATGAGTTTACTCGCGTTCGACGAAGTACATTTTGTGTTGTCTTCCGGGTCTGGTCAACTGACGCGGACGCTTTCCGCGGTAACAGGCCAGCTACCTGTACTGAAAATTGAAGCCATAGGAGATTTGGCCTCGAACGCATCCGTATACGGCAGTACTGATTTTCTAGAATATGTACTTCGAAATGTCTTGTATCAAGTCAGGTTCACTTTGAACATATCGCACTCAATCGTAATGCATGTTTGGCGAAGATTGTGCGTCTTTCTGTGTAACGGGGCTTTTAGCATTTTTGTGTCCGGGAGTCTGGTGTTTCCTTTTCCGCAAACGCGCCTGTTTCTCTGGTTCCTTTGAGCAGGGGCCGTGCGTGTCTGCCAGCTTGCTTGTGCTTTCCACGCCACGGAACGAGCTCCTTGTTCTCGTCCGACGACGCCAACATGATGGCCTTGCGTTCTTCCCGGTTGTGTCTGATGTTCGGTTTCCTTTTTTGGGCCCCCTGCCGCCCTGAGTCTGACTTAAACTTGCACAAACACAAGGCCGATCGTAAGAGGTGCCCACACTGCACAAAAACGAGGGAGATGTTTCATGCGCGATCATCGGCGGCATAATACTGGCCGTCAACACTACACACCCACGTGATGCCATCAGAGCGTGTTTGGGTGTTACATACTTGCACTTCGTGTTTGTTCTCAACACCACGACCTACCGTAGGTCGCATGAGATACCACCCCGTGGGCCGAATTTCGAAGGTCGATTACTACACGACGAAGAGGATGCCAACGCCCCCAAATTAGCGTCGTCACTGCTGTTTTCGCTGCAGAGTACTCAAGCTTCGAAAATTGGTCCATGGGGGTGTGCTATCTTACGTCACCCTTTGCAAAGCTCACGCCGAACGATCACGTTTCTGTCCGAGGGAAACCGGCCAAATGAAAATCGTGTACTGTCTCGTAGACACACTGATCCACCTCGGACCTCGGGCCTCAGACCAACCCACCTCAATGCAACACGGCGCATCGGCGGGGAGTTTGAACACCCCCGTGGTATACCCCATTTTGTCCATTCTCTTACCCCATTTTTTCCGTTCTCTTTGCAAAATGAAGAGGACAATCGGACAGATTCGGCCAATCATCATCGACCCGCATACACCTACTGCTGTACCAAGTATCATTTGCCCCGTTTGAATCTGAAAACAGCGCGCCTGAGCCCTCCGGCTCTCTTCTTTTTCGCCCCTCACACCAAGGCAGCCAAGAGGGGAACTTGTCCAATAGGATAACTGCTGTGTGTCTAGCGTGCCCTGGGGGAGGAATCTGCGCAAGTGAGGTCCAAGGCAGGATGCGGAAATCGAAAACGACGACCGCTGGTTGGCCCCTTTCGCGGCGGCCGTTGCAGTCATCCTCAACAACGACACCAGCGGCGCTGCTGGCGACCGCGCTGCTGCTAGGCTGCGCCGGCTCCGTCCTTCCTTCGGCGCGCGCAGCAGCAGCAGCAGCAGCAGTGGGCGGTGGTGGCGCCGCCCCTTCCTCCGGGGTGCGGTCTGGCCGGCCCTCCCACCTCGACGATGAACGGGAGCCCTTGCTGCCGCCGTTGGCTACTACTACACTGGCGCCACGCGGCAGCCCAGGCGGTCGCAGCACGCGCCCTTCCTGGTTCGTTGCTCGCCACACCCGCGGCGGGGGCCTGTTCCGGAGACGTAGGGGCGGCGGAAGCAGCAGCGATGGCGGTACCGAAGAGGGTGAGAAGCAGAAGGGGGGGGAAGAGGAGGGGGAGGGGCAAGAAAAGGAGGCAGTCGCAGAGGGCCTCGAGGCTGCGGCGGGAACAACGGGCGGCAGCGGCAGCTCCGGGGATGAGCAGGAGGAGGAGGAGGGAGCGATGAGCGACGGCGGTGGCGGAGCGGGCGAAGAGCAGGTGTGTCTGTTAGTGATGCATTCGCCCGTCTTCTGCTGCTTGAGTCCGAGAGGGCAATGAGGGATTCTGTCTTGAGGTTGGCCGGGGGAAGGCCGGTTCATATAGGGCAACCATAAGACATGATGGGCTGGCGGCGGTCGTTGTCTATGCATGTACCGCATCACAACATGCACAACTTCGACTCTGTTCCGGCTTGCTGCCCCCATGTGCATCGGAGCTTGAGTTGCTGCCGTGGAGGGTACAGCTGAATCGCAGGCTTCTGCTCTGGAGCTCAAAGAACATAAAAATGTTAGGTACATAAAAAGTGTTCGGCTTAGGGCGCGTCCAAGTCACCGTATGATGCGTTATATGTGCGGCAGTATCTGCGTTACAGCAGTCCGTGTGGTCTTCACCACAGGTATCATGTGCTGCAGCAACGCATGCGGTAACTGTAGTGGCGGGCGTTCAACGAGCGTTCGAGCCTTAAAGGCTGCCCACACACGTTATCAACGGACGGCGGCCTTCCCGCTCATCATAGGTTCGTGCCTTCCGTAGACTGATTTTGTTCGATCTTGTGTTACATCGTTTTTTCGGCGTGCAAGAACACATACTATTTAATAAATAGATACAGGGGAAAGAGGATTTGACACGATCTTTTTTTCAAGCGGCAGCACTCGCCATTACTCTGTAGACAACAGAGACAGCAACACGATATGGTTACAGCAGCGTGTGGAGAGGGATTGGCGGTCGGAGAGGCTGTTGTACCATCAAAGCGAACTTACGCCGCCAGCTCGTTTTGAAAAAATCGAAACTTGCCGGCGCGTACTGCTGCTGCGGGTCTTGCGTCTGCTCGGGTTTGCATAAACTCCCTGTATGTGAGCAACAACACCGTGCGCTTGGGACGGTTACTTGAGTAAGTCGTTGGATGTGCTACACTATTGTTTATTGGACACGGGGGCCAACGGTGGTCGCATAAATGTGCCTAGAATAGCAGACGGATTCGGGACACAAGCACGAATCCCAGATTTAGGTGGCTGTTGGTGATGCCGAATTCGGTGCGTACGACGTGTCTTGCGCGAAGCTTGGAACGGAAACCGGTAGGCGCGTGCGATGGGTGCTCCATCCATGTGTCAGGACTATCGCGTGTCATGACTAGTGCGTTGTGTTGCGGAACTCTGTCCTTTCTGACAGGCGGCCTCGTGAACACAACCCGTTGTGTGTTTAAGTTGTTCCATGCCGGAATAGACGTCTGCCAGTATCCACGAATTTGTGTCGTTCCGTGAGAGAGCCTCCAACATGTCTGACCTGCTATTGAGTGCACCCCGACAACCCCTGTTCTACAGCAGTACATTTTCCTTGTCTCCACTGCATTTGCCATTCTTTTATGCCGAACACGCAACGCATTTGGCTGCACACGTAGGCTGGCACACTCACTCAACGCTGTTCTACCGCCCCTCACGCCCGCTTGACGGACATGCCAGGAGGATGCCGCGATGGCCAGCGGCGAGGACGGCGACGGCGCTTCAGAAGAGAGCGGAGACGGTGCGGTCTCGGGGGCACCGGCGGCGGAAGGGGACGAGGACGGGGAGCGGGGAGAGGAGGAGGGGGCGGGCAGCGGAGCCGGAGGAGGGGCGGCGACGGCAACGGAAGGGGAGGAGAGGCGCCGGCCCGTCGCGCCGCTGTTTTCGTTCCCTCCGGGACCGAGGGTGCGCCGAACAGAGGCCGAAGATGGCCTTCAGGTGAATGATGACACGCTCAAGAGTATCCTTCTCCAGCGCGGCGGCAAGAGTGAGGGCGGGGATAGGCGCCGATAAGGGGTAACAACGAGGGCGTGAGAGGACGTATCGTATACATGTAGCGACGTGCTCTTTCTTCATTGCATGCCCGTCGCGCCTTCCGCTTCCTGAAGAGTATTGTGATGACTGCTGAGATGGGATCTAGGTTCATTTACTCGCAAGGTCGAGATAATCGTCGAATTCGTCACAGGAGAAGAACATCGAGCGGAGCAGTTTTTGTACGGTACAGTGTAGGCGCTGAGATCAAGCACGCGGTAAAACCAGACGCCTTCGATCGATGTTGGTGTCAAGCCCTCCAACCTCAGAAGTTGGCCGCAACCAATGCGTGTGTGGTTAGTGCTGGCAACGGGGAAGGTGGACGGTTTAAAGTTGATGGTAGCTCCCTGATTTGTCCATGTGCCGTTACGAAAATAAGGACGGCCGAGCGTAGTATACACCGGACAGCGATACACACGGTTAATTTATCAACCGAAAGCTCTCCTGCTCTCCTCACTCAAACGTCATATTTCGGTGTTCACCAACTCTCTTGTATCAGGAGGTGCTCCCCGTCCAGCAGCGGCTGGTGAAGTACCTGACGGAGGACAGGGTTTTCGGCGTCCAGATCCTGTGCTCGATCTACTTCTTCATGAGCGCGGTGAGGGAGGGACTCGGTCCGTCGCTCGAGGGAGGCGTCATATGCAATCCCGTTTCCCCCTGAATTTGCACCTTGAGGAACGTTTTTCGTTTCTTTGGTTTCGACAGGGGGGATTCCGCACGCTTGCGGCAGCAACACACGCATTAATTGTGCTGTTGGTTTCGTATCATCGAACCCCCAAGCGTGCATGTGAAAGTGTTTACATCTGTCTGTGCAGCCAAGCCCCATCCCCCCCGTCCGTCCGTCCTCTCGAGGACGCGTGGTCAGTGCTCTACCAGGACGACTGGTCAATGCTCTCCCACATGAGGCATGCAAGACATGAGTACGCCCCCCCCCCCCCCCCCCTCCTCCTCCTCTGTTACCCCTTCTCTCTTCATGTGGCCTACCTAATGTATATCACAAATT